ATAAAATTTAACAAGTAGCATACTGTTTTGTCCATCGAACTACGGGGTTATTTTTGTTTCTCAAAAGTCAAAAATCATGAAACAAGTTTCGTGCGCAGTGATTGTTAGTGCTATGGCATGAGACATTTTTATTGTTCAGATTTGATTGGTGGTTAAATAATAACAATTTCTAATCATATGTTCGTATCTTTGGTAACCGTGTGGTAATTACTTCTGTTCATGTCTTCTTTGAATCGTTCAAATGCATGATTATTGAGGAAGAGTAAAACTTCCCTTATCTTATACTCCCTCCGGTCCTTATGCATTTTGATTTTGTCCTAAGTTTAATTTAGGATGTCTTTTTAATTGGAATAAAAATATTAAAAACATTTCATAATAATTAGGAGAACACAGCGAATGTAAAAATATGTTCTTAAAATTTTTTTTCCAATTAAAAAGACATCATGGACTAAATTTAGGACGAAATCAAAATATCTTATAATAAGGACCGGAGGGAGTATAAGAGATAAAAAGATGTCAAGTCAAAAGTAATTTTAGTGGGCAAATTTGATGCTTCCTTATCTAGTCCTGGAATCTTTTATTTTCTTTTAAGAATATGACTAAAGGAAACATTATATGTGATCATTCTTTTACTGATTCAGATAAATTGTCAAGGGTTTAATTGCCGAAACTGTTTACTGTTAAATAAAAGGAATTGGTACAATTATGGATGACTTGGTTGCTATTACTGCTACGACACGCATGGGCCCTGTCTGCGTGATGTGTAGATTTGTTTTGGTCTGCAATGGATTCTAAGATTGAACGGTAATCTTTAATCGGATTTCCGAAAGTTGGTCATGGTTTTGGTCTATTTTATTTTATTTCGTGTTTGACTAGCATACAGAATTTTTGCCCATATGCGATATTTTAGGCTTTTTTTTTTGAAAGCACTTTATTGGATATGTATGCTTGACTACTATATCAACTAGATGCTTGCTCCGGGCGAATACCTAGGGTGCCGCCTGTATTTTTAAATCGATTAAATAAAAAATACGAATCATTCTTAAAAGAATAAAAAAAATAGAAGAATAAAAAATCAATTGAAAGGACAAAAAGTGAGTTATTATACATAAATCTATGCCCAGATTTATAACATTTAATTTACAACAGTTAACTTATGACCGAGTTTACATAAATCATAAACCAATATCTACAACAGAAGAATAAAAAAAAAAACCATCCTTAAAAAATCAAATTTCTTTCATGACAACTTATTTTGTCTCTGTTGTAGAAAGAGATGGATTGATAATTGATGTCAGATTTTAAGTAATTGATTTAAAGGTCCGGGTGTGAGAGAGGAGCGGAATGGAAGAGATTCTTTGAAATTGGGGATTGTGAAGACATTATTGTGTTTCACTTGATTTAAGGGGATTTCCTTACATTTGATTTTATTAATTAAATATTGTTGTTTTAAAAGATTAGTATACACCTATAATTAAGAGATTTTTATGTAGCTATAATTAAGGGATTTATGTATTTATCTATTCCATCTTTTTTTTTTCTGATTAGTTAGACTGTCACTTGTAAAAATTAATTTTGTATGGAAAATTTTCATTGTAGTGCTGACACATATCCTTTTTGTTTGCTGCTTTAATTAAGTACTATAGATTACATGAGTGATGGAATGTAGTTGTGGTCTTGAAAAAAAAAAAAAAACCTGCAACCTACTATTAAGTTAATGCATACTGACGAGCATGCCACGCAAAGGTTGGTTTTTATTAAGGTTTTGTGATATTTGAGAAAGACTAAGGCCCTGTTTAATAAACCAATTAAGTACTTAAACTTATTAATTAAGTATTTAATTGATTAGTACTGTTTGATAATACAATATCATAACAACTTAATTGATTAAGTACTTAATGTATTAAGGACTTAAATTTTAAGTGCGTTTGATAACTCAAACTAGGATGTCTTAATAAATTAAATGGGTCTGAAATGCTAGTACAAATGTGAGCCTAAAAATAAGTGATAGGTCTATCACTTATGTCTGAACTGAATTCTTGAGACGATTTTGTTTTCTATTTATTTATTTTTATGTTTATACTTTTGACATTTTATCTTGAAATATTTTTATTAATCATGATGTCTAGTTTTAAATTAAAATTTATGTAAATTATTTTATATTTAATAAATATTTATTTTTATATAAAAATTAAAATCCATTAAATTCCATGATCAATATATATTTACCATAAAATATGAAATTTTTTGACAATGATAAAATATGATATTATTATTAACTGAAAAAATAATAACATAATAAAATAAATATTTTTATTACATTATTTAATAATATTATTATTATTTTTATTATCATAGTTTCATAAGTCGAAATACTTTAAATTTCAGTGTTCAGACTTCAGATTTCACAAATTTTATTCAGTGTTTAGATTTTAATTTTTATCAAATACGACAAACTTAATAAGTTCAGTGATTCAGTCTTCAGATTTCAGACTTCAGCCCTAAATTAAGTTTTATCAAACGGGCCCTAAAATGACATGGCCAGTAAGTGCTTAAAGACGGTTGCCTATATAAATTTTGTTTACTTTTTCTACACTGTTTTTGGTATTCATTATCTTTAATTTACTTCTATTTTTGGGAATTAAAAAAAAACTTTCCCAATTTTCTCCACATAAATGTTGGTGATAAAAAATTAATTAAAGATAATGAAAGAATAATGAATCTATATAACTTAATAATAGAAAATTCAGTGAGAGGAAATTGGGATAGTTTTCCACATACCACGTAGGACAGACAATTTTTTCCATTTTTTTATTTATTAAAAAGTATAAAAAATATTAAGTCTTCAGTTAAAAAAAAAACCACCCTACAGATTTCCAATTTCTTCAGTCAAAACTCAAAATTAACAGCTTACAATGTGGAATTGGATTTATGTTGCCGCGAATTCGTGTGCATGTGAATACAGGAAATGTGTTTTTTCTTAGAATTTAAACAAATAATATCTTTCTTTGTGATGATGTGTTATAGTAAATGTTTAGATTCCTAGAATTTACACAAAAAAATGTCAAATCGGAATGCTTATATGATCATCTCCCATTGTTCCCTATTCTATTGAGCCCGCTACATATTCTGATACGATATTTTTAGAGCTTTTCTCAGTTAGGTCTAATTTCCTTTGGTCTTTTGGCTCAGGAGTTCCTACAGTTTTTAATCAACAAGAAGAAAGAAAACATATGCATAAGATAGATATGAGGTGAAAATCTGCAATATTCCGTTGTATCAATTATTGATTTTTTATTTTCTTTTGATTTTTTTGTAAATCTTGGCTACTCTAAATCATTGTACTGCATTGCAAGTCCAGCGTGTTCTTTTACCAGCGAAGTACCAAAATTTGAAAATTATTTCACTTTTTTGTTATTATGAATATTATATGGTGGAGTAAAATTTAAGGGGTTCTGAAATGGAGTATTTTTATGGGTTCCATTTTTTTTTCCTCATGTGGTGGTTGATTTAATTTTGTACAATTGCCCATATTATTGGAGTGACATATTAATTTAAATAGGCTTTTGCTTTATTGAAAAAAAAAAAAGAATTACTGAAGTTGAAAGTTTGGTATTGGAGGCATCTTACAAGAAAATAGCTACCACAACTGTTAATTAAGGTTCATGCATCCTAATTCTGTTCAAGCAAGAAATCCTTAGGGAAGTATCAACAAAATGTTTTCTTATAGAATACCTTAGTTAACACTTATATAAGTTCTGCTTGAAGAGTGACGTAACATCCTAATTCTGTTCAAGCAAGAAATCCTTAGGGAAGTATCAACAAAATGTTTTCTTATAGAATACCTTAGTTAACACTTATATAAGTTCTGCTTGAAGAGTGACGTAATAAGAAATATAAAATAGATTGTCTCAAGCTTCTGAAACCTAAATAAAAAAGTGTTTAATGAAATAATTTAATCAATAAGTGGTGTGATCAAACAGGTTCTGTTTAATAATTTTTTTATTTAGATTATTAATAATATAATTGATACACATGAAATAATTAATTAGTAAAATAGATTCCTTATATAAGTTCTTACCGCAACTATGCATTAAAAAATTAATAACTTTTTGATAATGGTTAATATTTTGGATGAAAAAAAGTGAAATAACAACATTTTAATTTAAGTGAATCACTTTTTTTTTTTTACGCTTTCATGAAAGAGAATTTTGGTCAGACACGCAACAATTTCACGAACAATCCCATGCTCAGTGTTAAAAGTTTTTGCGAAAAATGAGGAACCTCCCTATTTTCTATTTCCCAGAAGGTCAACAAGCTTGATAATGAAGCAAGTTCAAATACTTTATTCTAATTGTAACTTTTTTTTTTTTTAAAAAAAACAATATAAGAGGCAAGAGCCTAGATTATAATATGAGAACATTCCTTTGTTAAGAAATCCCGATAATACCATGTTCTAACTAAAAAATTACTCTATATGGGGGATCATACAATCTTAAGAAACTACCTATATGGGGGATGGCGGACAATGTCTGTTGGGCTAAAATGAGCAGGAAAGGCGAGAGAGGACAACCCTGGCATAAACTACGGCATAGAGTAAAAAAGTCTGATTGAAAGCCGTTTCATCGAACTGCAAATGTCACCGTCTGCACAAACTGCATTATATATTCAATCCAAATAGCAGGGAACTATATATGCTGCAATACTTGCCGAAGGAAGTACCATGATACTCGATCATAAGCCTTGCTCATATCAAATTTGATGGCAGTGACACTGAAACCAGGCTGCTTACGCTTTCAGATGTACTCAAGTACTTCGCGAGCAATTAGGGCATTTTCATTAATGGATCTGCCAGGTAAAAAGCCTATTTGCTAATAAGTGATAAGAGATGTCATAAATGATCTCATTCTCGCTGAGAGAACCTTGACAATTATCTTATACTGTGTGACATTGCATAGATTGATAGGCCTAAAATCGACAGCCTGCGTAGGTATCTTTATCTTTGGAATAAGCACCAAAACTGTACGTTTCCATTCTGCACCCATGACTGGATAACCAAAAAAATTCATCACGGCAGGAATAACAGTATTCTTCACGGTGGACCAAATAATGCTGAAAAAAAACCTGCCGACATTCCATCCGATCCTGGGGCCTTCCAAGGCTGCATTTGCCATAGCGCTTGTCGCACTTCCTTCTCAGAAAAGGGTCGGAGCAGATTGGCTTGTTGGACTGTATCAAGTGTGGGAAGGCAGTAAAGAAAATCTCCAATATTTGGGCATTGTTGAAAGGCATAATTAGGTGGATAGAGGTCTGGTAGGTATAAATCCATTGAAAATGTTGAGTAAGATGTTGATGGATAACCGGTGGGCGAGCTTCCCAAATTTTCGGCGATGTTTGTAACTCAGTCACCCAGTTGCGCCCTTGACGAAGAGTTGCCCACTGATGCAAGAATATTGTGTTTCGATCCCCTAGGAATAGCCAATTAATTAGGGGTTAATTTCATAATAGTGGAAACTGACTTTTGGTCCCTAACAGTCTATTAATTACATAATAAATCCCTATTTTGTTGTATAATCAAAATAGTTCCCGAAGAAAATTTTTCCAATGCCCCTGGCCCTCTTCCTTCTTCTTTCTTCTGTCTGTAATTTTATTTCACACATGGCGTTATGCCGCCGTTTTGCTAGAGTCTGTCGGTCCCTACAGGGCCACGCTCGCCACGCCGTTGCCGTCTCTTTCTCCGATCAAACTCCGGCCGCATCTAAAACCCCACCTTCCGTCCGATATTTACTCGCCGGCTATTCAAATTTCAATTACGAATACTGCAACAGCGGCAGCCAATTTGACCGAAACCTCCATTTCAGAACCCTTAATTTAGCTCAATCACTCCATTATTCAACTCTAGCGAATTCAGGTTCCGGCCCGGGAAACGGAAACGATGGAAAGAAGGAAGTCTCGTCGTCGGCATCCTGGATTGATTTATATTTACCCAAGAAAGTGCAGCCGTACGCACGACTCGCCCGGCTGGATAAACCAATAGGGACTTGGTTGTTGGTTTGGCCTTGCGTGTGGTCTATTACGATGGCAGCAGCTCCGGGAACCCTTCCGGACGTGAAAACCATGGCGCTTTTCGGTTCTGGTGCTTTGCTTTTACGTGGGGCAGGTTGTACTATAAATGATCTTCTTGACAGGGATATTGATACGAAGGTGATTGCTAAAATGTTCAAGCTTCTTGTTGTTATCTTAGCTTGATTTTGAACTATTTATTTGAATTGATCTTTTGTTTTTGTTTAGTGGAGGGATACTTTTTGTTTACAATTTTTGTTTTGGCTGTACAATGTAAAGTCATTTTGGAGATTGGTAGCTTTTTAAAATTACTTAAATGATGATTTCTTTATATCCTTCAAGTGAAATTTTGACAGTTGAGATTGGATGATTAGGCAGCACCTTGTTTTGAGATTGGTATAAAATGTAGTTTCCCTGTTTCCCTTTTGCTTCATACTGGTTCTTTATTGAACAATAATGTTGGATATCTTTGACTTGTGAGAGGGTTTAAAAACCGATTTTTTAAAGGTGAGCTCAAGTCAGAGATTCTGTACATTTCATCCTGTTGGTAGCAATCATGTCTTCACAAACTATCATTTACCTTTTCCTTATGTGTCCGATTAAGTTTGTGTCTTCAACAATGGCTTCATGGTTCTATTTGATGCCTGGAAGCTTGTGTTGGTCTTTTGGTTCGTGATGCTTAAAATCACCATAATTTTGTTTGAAAGGTTGTTACTGTATATATGTTAATATTCACGGTCGTTAATTCTTATAGCTTCGTGTTCACAAACTAGCTACATGCATCTGCCACATGGCTGAAGTCCCTGACTCTTTTTGGAATTGATATGGGTTTTTTTGGTTGGTAATCATAGAACCTTCCTTTATTTTCCAGAGTAGATAAGATGTAAAACTTGTTCGTGATTATGAAGAGATGCAATTAACTTGATGATGGAAAAATTGGTCCAACCCTTTATCTCTGTGTTTGATAAGTACTAAAGGCACTTTCTTTTAGTATCATCTTCCATCTGCTATGCTAAGTTGCAACGGTAGAAGTGTGTGTGTGTTTGTGTGTGTGTGTGGTTTTTTTTTCCCCCGCCCTGGTTGTTTTGTCTCTTCAATTACATTTAAAACTTCTTTGAAATGTAAGGAGAAGTATCCAGAGATTGTACAGTAACTTCTGTTTGTTCACGTTTTCTTCAGTTAATTATGGTTCCCTTACTTTCCTGAATGTTATAGTGCAGGTAGAGCGAACTAGGTTGAGGCCTGTGGCTAGTGGTGATTTGACACCATTTAAAGGGCTTTGTTTTCTTGGCTTGCAATTGCTTCTGGGACTTGGGATCCTAGTTCAACTGAACACGTTCAGGTTTGCTTTGTTTCTTTTGGCATATACTTTATTTTATTACTGGATGGTTGTTAACTAGAAACTTAAAGACTTCTATATAGATAGAAAATAAAATCCATCTTCCTGTCAAAAGTCTCTTCTTAAGGTTGTTTGGACAGTTGCAAAAGGGACCACTGGATACCGTATTTCACAAGTGGAATATAAAGAATTACTTACTCAACTTAAAATGGAAGGGGAAGATCTACTAATTTGGAAAGAAACAATCAAAATACATTCATAAACCTAGATGAAAATGTGTGTTTGTGCTGAGGACATGGTGTCAAAATTTGATCCACGAAGTCATCTCGAGATAATGAGGTAAAGTACCTAGGGGTCGTATGTTTTTTTTTCTGTGTTTTCATCCTTTTCCCAATTCAAGTTTATAGTTCTCTATGTCAACTTCTAAGATATCCCATAAAAACCTTTAACACTTACAAGACTACGATTGGAACGAAAATAAAACCAATGTATCATACATACAGACCCATAGGATGGATCCGGGAGGCATTATTGCTATGTCAATTAACAAGGTGGAGGGTGAGTTGAGTTTTGAATGCATACTTCGCCTGCAGTGAATGTGAGTCTTAGTTCTAGTGTTTATCTGGAAATGTAAAAAGAAACCTATCTGTTCTGTTCTTCAAAGGTTCAAGAGATGGTGCTAAGTTAAATGCACAGGCAGCATGCAGAACATGGGAAACAAAGAAGATGTAGAAAGTAGTGGAAATCATCTTCATGACGTAAATCAATCTCATCATCAGTTGGTTTAATGCTCCGTGTACTCCTCGATTTGCTTAACCAGGGAAGTCCTGTAGAGTGGGAAAAGTAGGGGAAAGAAACAGAGAAATGACCAAGTAGGATGAAAAATAAAAAAAAATATAGCTGGTAAGTGAGTGAGGACTATAATCTTCAATTGGGAGCACAATGTAAAACGAAAAAGGAGGCAAGCATAAAAAATTTCAAAAAGTGGAGTTTTTTGTTCTGCTTCCAAACACTGGTCCATGCTAGAATAAAACAATGGAACAGGTCAGGCTTGTAAGATCTGTTTTCTTGCTTCACATAATGGATGTGTTATAGCTTCTTGAAGAAGGGAACAACTTCATGTTATGTTTCGTCAATTTAAATTTGTACTTCTTGGAACTGGGAGGGATTTCAGTTTGGTTCTGTGCACTTGCACTTGCACTGTTGATTGCATTCTTAATCTACTGATGTTGTTCTTGCAGCCAAATTTTAGGAGCTTCATCTTTATTTTTGGTTTTCTCATATCCTTTAATGAAGAGGCTGACATTTTGGGTAAAACTTCCGAGTCTGTTTTCTTCATCCTTCTTAAATTGCTCCCCTAATTTCTCTGTTTCTTTCCCTGTCTTTTCTGATAATTTATTAACATGTCTGAGTTTTCCTCTCTCTTTTTTTTTTTTTCTCTTTTTCACCCTTGAGCAGCCTCAAGCATATCTTGGTTTAACTTTTAACTGGGGAGCTTTGCTCGGTTGGGCTGCTATCAAAGGAAGTCTTGATCCTGCAGTTGTGGTTCCTCTTTATTTGTCTGGTGTATTTTGGACGCTTGTATATGACACTATATATGCACATCAGGTATGCAGATCTGTTGGTGAATTTATCACTATGAACTTCGGTGTACATTCAGAAACCACGTGCATTTTTTCAACTCCTTATGTTTTACATGATAAGAAGTACACTCTCTTACATGTCCCAATTTCTATAAATTGGATTGTGGGTGCATTGTTTTTAACTACTAAGAAGTAAGAATTCGTTGTTGGCTTTTCCAGGATAAAGATGATGACCTGAAAGTGGGCGTCAAATCAACTGCTTTGAGATTTGGAGATTCATCAAGAGAGTGGCTTTCTGGATTTGGATTGGCCTGCATCAGTAGTCTTGCCCTCAGTGGGGTGAATGCTGAACTGGGTAATGATCTGCGTCAGTCTTTATGCAAAACTGTTGGTTGATAGATTCAAGAACACGTCATTCTTGCCTTCCTGCTTCATTCTTATTGTGCATCCACTTCTTTTGGTGCAGGAGGGCCATTTTATGCATCTTTGGTGGCTGCATCTGGTCAATTAGCTTGGCAAATATGGACTGTTGATACATCATCTCGTGCTGATTGCAATAAGAAGTGGGTGTTCTTCTGAATATCTAAAATTTCCTGGCAAATTCAATTCTCCGGAATGTGTGCTAATTATGACTTGATGTAGTTTTCAGGATGGCAGCATTGATGTTACATTTTAGTTCTAGTTTCATATGTTTGTCTTGTGTTTGCGCATGTAAGGTACTCTCTTACTGATTCTGTTCGTTGCATGCTGCATCTAGATTCGTCTCCAATAAATGGTTTGGTGCTATCATCTTCAGCGGTATCCTGTTTGGGCGACTTACCTCGTAGAGGTATGTAGCAAGTATGATATCTTTATCCTCATGAACATGGGTCCTGGTTTGTCATATTCTTCTCTCTTGATGACAACTAGAATTACTTCATTTATTATTGACAGGGAGCTTTTGGGACATCATTTTGCTTAAAGTGTCTAAGGATTTAGTCGGGTAGATTTCTACCATGTTGAAGTAAAAACTGCTGATCTGAGCTTCAGTAAGTTTGCGTGAACAAGGATTGGAGGAAGGCTGGCAACGTATGTAGGTGAAGCAGAATTACAAGGTATTGACAATATGAAGACTGTCAACTAATACCCCATGGTAACTTCACTGGAGAAGATTTCAACAGCTTGATACTTCAACAGATACACCTGCATCTTTTGACTTATCTGCAAAGCAATCGAATGGCAACAAGGTATCACTTTTGTTGGAAAAATCTCATTAAAGATGTAGAATGTTGTATTTATTTCTCAAGGCGGGGGATAAATGATAGATATATTGTGAATCCTTAGGCGAATTAATCACATTGCACACTCGCCCTTCACATTTTTCTAAAATTTGCTTGTAGAAGAATTTGTACTTCTGTAGACATCAATGAGCCAATGTGTTTTGACAGAAAAATATCAGAGTATGATTCATAAAGCTGATTCTACATGATAAGACACATGTCAATGTTGATTAGAAAATCAGGGATGTATGCTTATTGTTCGATAGAGAATTAATTATTTTTGAATAAGAGAAGAATTTGTCTAACCTCTTTTGTATGGGTGTATTTGCTCCTTGTATAATTGTTGTAAATTTATATATATATGGGGAAAATTTAGAGTCATGGTGGCCATTTTTATGAAATCGTTACCTTTGTTTTCAACCAATCAAAGTTGAGGGTATAAGATGTAATCATGGGTGAATAACATTCTAAAATATCCTAAACTAATTGAGAAAATGGTCAATTTTGCCCAAAATTTTAAGTATCTGGCCAATTTGACCCAATAAGATTTTCGGAAGCCAAATTCATTATCTAAATTTTAATTTCTGGCCAATTTAATCAAATTGATGATAATTCTGTTAGATTTAACATTTTCTCTGACATTTCGCTATTTGCATAGTTTTTTATTGCAAAAAAACTTTTGTTGACCCAAAACTTTAACATTTTATCCCTACTGTTTTGTTATTCTATAACATATGCTTATCTTACTATTTAACTATTATAATCGTCCCCACCACATAATTTATATCCTAATCTAATCCATTACTCCCACTCTAAGTCCTTTCCTTTTCTTCCTCCTCCTTCCTCCTTTAATTGTTTTTTGCCGCCGCACCACCACCGTCCCATTCCTCTTCTTCACTAAAAATTACCATCACCACTTCTTAAATCTATGAGGATTTCAAACCATCAGCACAAACATAAAAATTTTCTTCCACCAACAGTACACAATCCTCCCTTCATCACTACGAGCATTTTCGTCGCCGTTGCTTTTCTTCAATTCCACAAAAATTATAGAATACTTTACTTATTTTTCCTATTTTCTTCCTTCTTTCTTCTAAAAGAAGTAATGACCCTCCCTTTGCTTGCACTATTTGTCCCTTGCTCACTTCTTCTCCATGTCAACCAAAAAAAAAAAAAAATCATGCGGAGCTATGCTTATCTTTTTTAGCAGGTTATAAAAAATTCTTTTGATTGTTCCATTATTTCAAAATTCTTTATGCCCAGAAAATATCCTTTCACATTTCGTGGGTGTTGATTTAGAGGGTAGTCTCATTTCACTTATTAAAAACATATTTCGTCCATTAAACTCAGTTAACTACTAACTTTAAATTATGGCCTATCATTCAAATCGATGTACTATGCAAAAGAAGGAAAATTACTGCACCTACACGGCCGTTAAGGCGGCCAAAGGTGATGATAGTGGTGTTGGGGGCTAGAGGTGATGGTAGATACCCACTTTTATTATACGTTTTTTTAAGACAATAACAAAATAATGAAGATAATGAACAAACAAAATTGATGTTGGATAACAGAATCTCTCAAAATTAATAGAATCTTTGGAGTTAATGACGACATTTTCCGAGTCATTTTGTTGAGTATAATAATTTTTTATGGCATTAAATTTTACAGTCGCATAAAATAAATTTCTTCATACATTACTAAATTGCATCACACATTACATATGATGCCTAAATTTTGACATTAATTCCAAGTTAAAAATAAAATAAAGTTAGCCTTTTGTAATACAATTTTGAAAAAAAAAAACGATGTATATTAATCCAATATAAAAAAGAATTTAAGAAACATAAATGCAATGCATAATCTAATATAGAGAGTATAAATGAAAAGGGGAAGAAAAAATTTTTATGGGTATATTTTAGAACAACTAAAATTATCGGAGTTAAAATGTCAAAATTATGGGGTCCGCAAAATTTTTTTCTAATAAAAAATTATGCAAAGTAACTGAGTGTCAGCGGAAATGTTAAATCTAACAGAATTTTTGTTAATTTGATTAAATTGGCTAGAAATTGAAACTCAGAGGGTGTTGATAAATAAAGAGCAACTTTTTTATTTTGAAGAAAATTCTTATCAAATACGGCAATTTATATGATAAACCATGTCCATAATAGATGGTAGACTCTTTTTAAAAATCGCCACGCTTTAGAAAAGAAGTTAAATTCAATTAATTTTTATTATAACAACCACGCGCATCAATATAATTGATATTTTTTTTCCCTTATTGTTCTCTTTATCCTGTAACCAATCGTATCTAAAAAATCAAAACTAAAAATCTAGCATCTTACTAACACTATTTGGCGGTTCACTTAACTTTTCATCTATAAAATAAAGCAGAAATCGAAAAGTAGATGCAAACTATCTTTCATTCATCTTAAAAAAATATTAAGAATTGCAAGGTATTTTGATTTGAATAAGATCCTTTTGATGTCGTATATGATGAACGATGATACTTTAGAAGTCTATCAAGGAGGTGGCAGTGGCGGGCACTCAAATGATAACGCTAACAATGGATTCACCCAAGATTGCAGTTTTCACGGCTAAAACCAACGACGATGGCAACTCTTCAATTGGTACGCATTGAAAATGATGTATTGTCCCCCAACAACTTCAATTAACATCCGTTCATGAAGATGAATCTCCTTCACATGAATCTGGTAATGTTGAGTTTACATTTAAAAAGTTAGAAAACATAAGGTTTTCGACGAACATGTACTTATATGTTAATGAATAAATTTTAATAAAACCATGAACACGTTTGTCTATATTATTCATTCAAGAACTTTTCTTTAAATGGGTCTGAACATTTTATCCTTTTAATCACTCAAGTCTGATTATTGCATGTATAAATATGATGCAAACTTATCATGAATATGATATTTGCGGTATATGAATATTGACTATTTTTATCATGAACATAATATGGTCATGAATATATTACAAATTGTGAATGTAATTATGAACATTATTTATTTCAAATTTTCATGAATATAGCATTATATGATCAAGAATATTATTTTATTATTACTACAACCTGCTGTTAGTTATGAACTTTAGATTAATATACCATGAAAAACGCACTTAGCATTCATGAATTTTTTTTCGTTATATAAGTTTGAACATCTTAGGAGAGAAATAATATTATTTTATTACGAATGTATGAATTTTGTGCATATTTATCATGAATATTACATTTGCGATATATGAATGTTGTATAATGGTTTATTATAATGTATAAACATTGTGCATATTTGTTACGAATATAGTAAATTAGTTTCATCATTATTGACATCATTAATCATGATACATATAAATATTGCCATGAATTTATATTGTATGCAACACAGATTGTCATTATTTTTAATATGACTATCATGAAAATTTTTAATATGACTATCATGAAATTTAATATGTTTTGTTTTGCATATTTACAATTTAAGTCATGAACATTATTATTTGTATTATTTGTTCACAGTTTATTACGTATTTTTGTGTGGTAGTGTGTAATTTTATTTTTATTATATAACTCTAACGGTAATTGAATTTGTTTCTTGTTAGGATTATTACTGTAAAATTTGGATACAATTTAAATTGTAGTTTGTTTGGATTTCCTTAGTTATGAATTTTAAATAAATAAAAAGAATCTAATTGAATAGATAAAGGAGAGATAAAAATCAAAATTCTAGGAGCGTGCGTAAATATTAACCAGTTCACCAAACATTGTGAACTGTGTTGTACGATATAATTACTCATCAAATACCTATATTGTCTTTGTACGAATATTAAGGGATTTGCTCGATATTCTTTCCCTTAATTTTCTCCCTTCCTTCACAACGGCATTATGCTTTCAGCTTCTTTTTTTTATAGATTTTTTTTGGTATATTACGCACTCAGTGTCTGAAATCATTATTCTCACTAATTCGAATTAGAGCTGAAATTTTTTTCATTTTCTTTAATCCATGACTCGTTAATCAACTATTCAATTTCAGTCCAAAAAATTCTAATTTTTTTTAATGGGAATAATTACCACTACCTCAATTGACGAGCGAATCTCAAGTTTGATCATAATAATTATGTCCATTTCATTAAGATGGCGTTGGCGCTCTCCTATCCAACGAGTGCACCATATGTTTATCAATCGCTCCAACAATGTTTTGCTTATTTTTACATATGCTGCAACTAACTACACATTTCCTCATGAAAATAAAGTGGGTGAACACTTGAAGGACGCTAATAAATTTGATGTTACTGCAGCTCCAGTTGTTGCTAATTCTTGCAAAGAGGAAAAAGAATTACCTTGTCGCAAATAAAGAAATGACTGGACTAAAATGCAAGGGAGAGATTTAACGGAAAATAATAGAGTAAATCTTTTAAAATTTACATAAGGCTCTTATAGGTATTTGATAAAAATTTGCTCTCAAAATAAAAAAGTTGCTCTCAATTTATCAATACCCAAACATAGATGATGAATTTGGCTTCCCAAAATTTTTTTTGGTCAAATTAATGAGACACTTGAAGATTTGGGTAAAATTGACCATTGTTTCTAATTTTTTTCTAGGTGGATTTAGGTATACTTACTTATGATGCACCCTCATTTTAATCCTACGGGTGTTAATTAGTCTAATTAATCCTACGGTTATTATATTAAAACGGAACCGTCCCGTAATGGGAATCTGGCCGCTCCCATATATACATATATGTATATAATATGCGAAAAGTAAATATATCTTTTAACTTGATTTGGAAAAAAAAGTAAGGAAAAGAAAAGATATTTTCTTCATTAAAAAGCTTAATTCTTAATAAATTAACAACAACAACAACAACAACAACAACGTTTATTTTGACATTCAACTAACCCTTAAGCAAGAATACGGTTGAAAGAGAAGTATAATTCAGCCAAATGAAAATGATAGTCCAACAAATGAAAGCATCAGCAAATGAGTAGGTTCATTATTTGTCTTTGGTGGGATAAGAAGCCATTTTGTTGATGCCGCAGAGACCTTCTGGCTTCCCTGTATTTCTTTTCATCCTTATGTATCCTTTTTCTCCCCACTTTGAACCCCAAGAGTTCTTCACAATGATGTAGTCCATGCCCTTAGTTGAACCATATCCAACAGCTGCCACCCCATGGTCAAGTTCAGTTCCACAGTGGCCATCAAAAACACCCTACAAAACCCGAATAAGTAGTTAGGCACCCTTGAAGAAAGCGTTCGACCAAGGAGGAATGATTCGAGAGCTTTCATTATAGAGTCATTAGTAAGTTAAAATCAACTTGAACCTAAAAGTTTGAACTAACAAGTTTTGAACTCATGTATTCTTAAGTATTTGTGAGAACCTATAATGATCAGGAACCTCATTTATTAGGATGACAGAGAGATAACATCTGAGGAACTTACTCCACTGTAGAACTGGAAGTCTCTTCCAGAAGCCTCAATGGCAATGCTCAAGGGTTGGTGTGCAAGTGCTTTCAGAAGATTCTCTTCACTGTTGGTGGGGACATCGCGGTAACCGCTAATCTGGACTACCTCAGATTCATCCCTTTTCTCATCACAAGTGCCTTCCTCCATTAGGTACGGGTAGTCTTCCTCTTTGTGAAGCCCACCATTGGAAACAATGAAGGAGAATGCGTAGTCCATCAGACCTCCATTGCAGCCATTGTTGTAAGTTGTGTCACAGTCAATGAGCTCTTGCTCTGATAGTGAAGTTAAATTCCCAGTAACAATCTGGTTGATGCCCTCAACTGCAGCCACTGTTGAGAATGCCCAACAACTACCTGCAACCATGTTCACCGTTGTTTGTTAGTACACTGTCATTAGTAACCTGCACTTATGTTCGTTGATTGTTATCTACAGTGCATATATTCTTAGTATCTGCATAATTAATTTTAGAACTCTGAAGAGAAATAGGACTAAGAACCAAACTAGCAAATGATGGCCTAGAAGAATCTGGTATTGGTAGGCATTTGGATAGAGCAGATCATGAATTTTAAGATTTTAATGCAAGAGAAATACGTTTTTTTCTTAATGTTATGTTTTTAGACATTTTGGATTATTTCACATTACCACATGATCCTTGGTTCTTGATAGGTGTGACAGCTCCTTTCTTCCTCCAATCAACTGATTTGGGAATAACCTCCACATCTCTGTATGTAAACTCTTCTTCTGATTGCCTCTTTCTGGGAGACCCATCAACCTTCAATCCCAGATACATCTTTTTGAACTCTTCATGGCTCAAATCAGCAAACTCATTCAAGCCAAGCCAGTAGTTGGCGACGGCTTTATTCCTCTCATCGATATGCTTCAAATTATCCTTAAAAATCTCGAACCTATGTAACTTTTCCTCAATGCTCTCGTAGATCTTCCCATGCTTTTCAATCCATGACTCAAAGAGGTTAATGAGTTTGTCAATGCAAGTTAAATCGTCGGGCGAATAGCCAACGATCGAGAAATCGCGAGCAAATGTCGCGCTCACTGTGAATAACAAAGGAAATAAAAGGAGTAGAAGCTTGGAAGTTGCAGAAACAGCCATGATTAATTTCAAGAGGATTTCTGTTTCTCTTTGTTGGTTAGTGAAGATGATAATGAGATGCGAAATTGAGCCAAAACGGAGCTTATTTATAGAGTTATAAATGGACAACTTTCAAGTTAAGTTAATGTATGCATCTGCCAATATTATTATAGTGTATACCGTATCTTGAAGCATGGTTCTTTTTTTTGTTTGGCTTAGAGTCAAAGCATGTCTCTCTGACGATTTAAGTCTTAAAGATATCATAGAAAAACATCTCATTAATTAACCAGTCTCATGCCTAGAATACCATAAAACTAATCCATGGATGACATAGGTTGTAAAGTCGAGAAAATTCGGGTTTATATTAACTGTCTCTCTTATTATGTATCAACCTTTGTATCGGGATTATTGTCTTATTTATGAGGGTAAAACGCAAATATGCGAACTAACATTTTGAAAATTATGTTATCAACATTTTGTAAGGGCGTTCACTAAGTAGATTTTATTTTATTCTTTTGAATAAATTATGTCATTTCACTTGTGAATATAATTAGACATTTTTTTAAAAAAATGGGCATAATTAGGGATAGAATCATGGCAAGAAAACATAAACTACTATTAGTGTGGAAGAATTGAAACAGCCACAAAAATGGTGTAAACATTATTCTACCAGATTTAGAGACAAAATGTTCAATGAAATATGTGTTCATTCGGTCAATGTTCAAAGATGATAAGTTTTGAACAAGAAATTTTCTTTTATTGATCACAAAAAGTTGTCATAAGATAATATACTGACGAGATATATACAGTCCTGATTGAAATTCTCAAATTTTAATCAGAAAAATTTGTTGGTAATAGCTAATTTAGATTGTGAATTTGTGATCTTCAAGTATTTATTTTAATTATACTGCTCATCTCTCAAATTCCATTTAATCCAAAACATAGTCCTTTACTTTAAGAGGACTCGAGTTCATCACCGGAACACATCTTAACGAAGCTCTATAATGATGATTAAGGAATCATGCATATTCCTTTCTTTTGTCCCATTTAAATAATTCGTTTTATTGACTCTTTTTTTTTTAAAAAAAAAAATTGCGAACAGATATATAGACAGAGAAAGTATATGCTACCATTTGTGTTGAGAATAGATTTCATATTTCTCGATGATACTGTAATACCAGAAATTAAATATCGACTAGATCACAACAAAATGGACAAATAGGTTAGAGATACTAATTACGTTAATGATATCCTTATAAAACGGGGCACCACAAAGAAGTCTATGAAGAGTAGAAGTAATTACAAGTCTAAAAGCTACCAAGCTCCCACACTTCTTAGTCGGTAAAAACCATAGATACAAGCAAAATGTGAACTTGACTAGCTATTAATTTCTCCTACATCTTAAGATATTGGCGAACAATGGGTGGAATATTGAATAGGATAATAAAGATGGAAAACTATAATCACGAAATATTATGTTCTAACTTTAATTAAAGACCTCGGAGATTGTAATATACAAACAGAAAATTACAAAAAGGCAGAAGCTCTCAACGCAATGCTGTTGATTCGCTGAAATCCCAATTAGTTTTTCAACTCCTTGGGGTAAACAAAGTTACTCAGTAGGAATAGCCAAATTTGCAAATGTGTGCAAATCTTTAACCATTAAAAAAAAAACCTTAATTAACACAAAGATTACTTTTGAAACTTTATAAAGACCAAATTCGAAACTAGCTAGAGAACTAGGTTAAAGAGAAAGAAAATGCCATTTTTTCATTTAAAGTTTTGAGTTCCCGATTCTGGGATGTATGGTTTGTGTCTTGATTAATTAATGTAGTATTTCTGCGAGTGTGTCAAAACTCAAGTTTAGATAATTATTCGTTTAATTTCAATGCAAATTTGTTGGTTTTTAAAAACTAAATTCCATAACCCTATAACAGAAATAAAAACAAAATAATTGTCCATACGGGGAGCATATAGCTTTCATTTTTCTACTGTCAAATTCAAATATAATGAGTTTCGGTAAATTTTACAATTGTGAGCAAAATTGAACATTGTCATTTTGGACTTTAGGTGTCTACCCTTTTCTTTTTGTGAGTTTTACTCAAAGTCTCAAACAATAAAATTGATGATGACGGATGCACATTGTTTAGCTTAAGAATCTTTTTAAAATGTTACAGGAGATGTTAAACAATAAATAATTGATCTGTATTACTTTTATTGAATGATTGCCTTATTTGTCATACATACTAAACTAATACAAATAAGAGAATCGTTTTGAAATAGAAGGAACACAAAAATCCTCAATTTATACCAAGAAAAAAAAAGAAAAGAAAGAAGAGAGATTAGCCATCATATACATTTCTGTATGCAGAAAAACAAGCTAGATGACTTTGAGAAAATTGCAAAAATTAGTTAAGAAGTTTCAGGTTGTTAATTAGTCCGAGAAAACGAGTGAGGACTATCAACTTCTTTTTGTATTTAATTATGGATTTCCAATGCTCAAGTCACATGAATGTCGTACACAATTCAGTTCATGATAAGAAACAAATGAAATGGATAGAAGAAATCAGAGCGGCTGATCTCCTTCGTGCTTCTGTTTTATATTAGGGTTTTTATCTAAAATGATACAACAACAATCCAGAGTGATCATCTCTGTAATTTAAGTAATTTAACCCTAACTATGGTAACTAAATAATTTACATTAAGCGACATACATATAAACATCCATAATATCTCCTCAAGTTGGAGCATGAGAATTTCGAATGCGTAACTTGCCAAGAAAGTAATCGAACTGAGATTAGCCCAAGGCCTTTGTAAAAATATCCGCCAGCTACACGTGTGTGGACACATAACTGGGAAGAAAAGTACCCTTCACAACTTTATCCCGAACAAAATGGCAATCAACGTCTATATGCTTTGTGCGCTCGTGAAAGACATGTTAGCTGCAAGATGTAAGGCAGTCTGACTATCACAATAGAGACGAATAGGCTGAGGATGAGACATTCCCAGAAAATGTAACAACCCTTTTAACCAGTTCAACTCACAAACTGTGGATGCCATCGGACGATACTCAGTTTTAGCAGAAGAATGAGCAACAGTTTGTTGTTTCTTGGTTTTTCAGGAAATCAAAAATTGGCCTAACTGCAAAAACCAGCCAGTGAGAGAGCGACAAGTCAAAGGACAGCTAGCCCAGTCAGAGTCACACCAACCTGACAACTGGAGATCAGAATCAGCGTGAAGAAGAATGGCTTGACCAAGATTACCCTTCAAATAATGAACAACGTGAAGGGCTGCATCCCAATGGACCTGAAGAGGTTTCTGCATAAACTGAGCAAGTGTATGAATACAGTAGGATAGCTCAGGACGAGTAACCACAAGATAAATTAATTGGCCAACCAACCGCCGGTAACTCTCAGGATTAGACAAAGGTTGCTCAGTGGCTAAAGCAAGCTGATGATTCTGCTTCAATGGAAATCCAGTAGGTTTAGCCCCCAAAAGGCCAGCCTCAGAAATAATATCTAAGGTATACTTTCGCCGACAAAGAAAAATGCCAGAGGAATTACGAGCCACCTCAATGCCTAGAAAATATTTAAGCACACCAACATCTTTCATGTTGAAACAACGACTCAAATAGTCATTAAACAAGCAAATAGTTGCGCTATCATTGCCAGAATGAGATCATCAACATAAACCTGCATCGTAAGCTGCACAGAACCACGTCGGAAAAGAAATACAGAGTAATCAGAAGATGACTGCTGGAAACCATACCGACGTAAAGCAGTTGCGAGTTTAGCAAACCGGCAACGGGGAGCCTGGCGGAGGCCATAAAGAGAATGATGAAGTCGACAAACACCACCAGGAACAGGAGATAAAAAACCAGGCGGTAACTTCATATAGACCTCCTCAGAAAGATCGCCATGTAGGAAAGCGTTCTGAACATCCATTTGATGAAGTTCCCAACCTTTCGAAACGGCGACAGTAAGCAATGTGTGCAAAAGTTTCATTGTAGTCAAGACTTTCAACATGCTTGTTCCCCAAGATAACCAAATGAGCTTTGTAACGCTCAACAGAGCCATTAGAATTATACTTAATTTTATACAACCATTTACATCTGATGGCACATTTTCCAGGGGGAAGAGAGTCAATGGTCCAAGTGCCAATGGATTCTAATGCCTGAATCTCCTGTTGCATTGAGCATCTTTAACGACTTCCGTGTGAGGCTCAACCCCTGCAGTGATACTAGCCAAAAATGCTCGATGTGGTGAAAAAAAGAAACATAATTCACATAGTGATGAATGGGATAGGATGCACCTAAGGAATTTGATGAAGAGAGGGGCTTAAAGAAGTGACAGTATGACCGAGAAAATCATTCAGTCGAGTAGAGCGATACCTAATGTGATTCCCATGGCCCAGAGGTTCTTCCTGTTGCTAAGAGGATGATGAACCCCCTCTCGCTGACGGGAGGTCAGAGGGAGAATCAGAAAAAACGATATCAGCGGAAGAGATAGATGATGAAAGAGACGTAGCAGAAGTATCCATAGTAGGACCAGAGTCAAAATCATCTTCATCAGCAAGAATAGGAGGAGACTCAATCACAGGAGACTGATTAACATCCAGAGGTGGAGTCATATAAGGAAATCCGGTCTCAGAGAAAGCCACATCTCGAGAGACAAGAAAAGTACCAGTCTCGAAATCACACACCCGCCAACCTTTCTTTCCAAAAGGATACCCTACAAACAAACATTTCCAACTACGACTGGAGAATTTACCGCCAGGTCGATCCTAGTTATGCACATAACAAAGGCATCCAAAAACACATAAATGGGAAAGAGATGGCCGTCGACAATATAAAATTTTAGTGCGGGTCTTGCCTTGTAAAACATTAGAAGGGGTGCGGTTAATTAAATATCCGGCAGCCAAATCACAATCACCCCAAAATTCAATAGGCAAGTGCGCCTGAAAACGCAAAGCACAAGCCACATTTGAAATATGCCTGTGTTTGCGCTCCACACGGCCATTCTGCTGGGGAGTACCAACACTGGAAGTTTCATGTAAAATACCATGTTCTCAAAAATAATCTGTCATACACATGAACTCAGTACCATTATCACTACAAACATGTTGGACCGATTTCTTAAAATGACATTCAACCATGGCACAAAAATTATGCAGCGTCAGAGATACTTCCGTCTTATCAACCAATAAATAAATCCAAATGGCTCTCGAAAAATCATCAACAATTGTCAAAAAATTCTAGCACCCGAAAAAGAAGGAACACGGTAAGGACCCCACAAATCACAGCGAATCAATTGAAATACTTCAAAGGTTTTTGTAGTGCTGACAGGAAAAGAAGTTCGAGTTTCTTTGGCCCGAAAACACACATCACAGGCCTTATTTTAAAAACTACTATCTTTGGGAGAACCAAAACTACTATCTTTGGGAGAACCAACAGAAGGAAGCAATGGTAACACCTTAGAGGACGGATGCCCAAGACGCTGATGCCATAAATCAAAAGAAGGTAGCCCAGAAGATGCCACAGCAGACACGGTCTCCACATCCCGAAAGAAATAAAGCCCCTTCCTTTGCTCACCCACTCCAATCAGCATAAGAAATAAAGCCCCTTCCTTTGCTCACCCACTCCAATCAGCATCCTCGAAGTGGGGTCCCGTATAAGACAAATACCAGAAGAAAAATGAGCAACAAAGGCAGCATCTTTCAATAATTGAGAGACTGAAATTAAATGGCACTTCAAACTAGGCCAAAAAGCACATTATATAGTGTCACTTGACTACTAAGCACCACAGTCCCTGCTTTGGTGGCAAAAGTAATTTCACCATTCGGAAGTTGCACCGGAACACCAACAATGCCACGAACGGTGCCAAAATAGATTTTCGGTAAGAAAACCGTCATATGACATGTTGCTCCCGAATCATAGATCCAATCAGAAGAAATATGCTTACCGGACAGCCTGGGAACCGAACTAGGTTTAGCCACATTCAAGAGAGAAAGAAGGGTGCTCCACTGGTCCTGAGAAAGACCAGTAACAGCCAGAGCCCCAACACCATGTTCGGTCGAGGAAGGAATGACTGGAATTGCCACCGTGTGTGCCGAAGCCGGAGATTGACCAAAACCAGCAGCGAAACCACCACCACTGCCGCGAGCATGACCACCATTTCCGTGACCACAGCCATGACCTGCTCCACCCCGCGAAGGCCAACCCTTTGGGTACCCAATCAGTTTGAAGCAGGTAGTAATCTTGTGTCCAGTGCGGTTGCAATGCATGCAAAACAGCGGCGGATCAGCAGAACCAGCAGCCTGAGACTTGCGACCTCCATGATCCTTGGATTTCTAACCAGCAGAGGCTGCAAATGCCACAACCTCACCACTGGAGGTCGCCGGAGAAGACGCAGCATCAACAGTTTGGACGGCAAAGCTCATCGTCTAAACAGGAAGCTCCTTGGACTGAGAAATAAGCCGCATCCGTTCCTGTTGAACAATCGTGGAATAAACTTTCTTCAACCGAGGCAACGGATCTTGGGCGAGAAGATTAGACCTTGCTGTCCCGTAAATGGCGTCGTCTAGTCCCAAAAGAAATTGGTGGATCTTCTCCTCTTCCACCTTTTTCTCGGTAGCGGCGGTGAGATTACAGGTGCAGTGGCCGCAAGAACACACCGCAGCAGCATAGTATGAGGCGAGTTCGTCCCATATTTTCTTCAGACGGCCATAGTAAGCCGTAATAGAGAGACCCTTCTGGCGGCAATTGGCAAAATCCGCCTTCAGTTGCTGAATCCTCGGCCGATTCACAAGCGACAGTGAGTCTCGGATATCAATCCATAAATCACGAGCAACCTCATTGTGAGAAATTGTCGATCGAAATGAAGGCTCAATCGAATTCATGATCCACGACACAAGCAAATAATTAATGGTCTGGTCCACCAACCTTCGGAATCGGGAGACGTCTCGGCATGGAGCCATCGATAAATCCGATTTTTTTCCGGGGCAAGCAAGGCAGTCCGGACTGCTTTGGACCACTCTTCATAGTTGCTCTCGCCACGGAGTTGAACTTGAGTTATGGAAGCCCCTGGATAGTCGTTAGCAGTGAGGTCGTACGGCGAAATCGTCCGGTGCCGCACAACATTATCACCACCGTCGACAGTACGAGAAGATTGAGGAGAGGGAACTCCCTCAGTTTGCACCATGATAAAGCAAATCGCGAAAGAAAGAAGGCAACATGAAGAAGTCAATGTGTGCTTGCGATTGATACCATGATAAGAAACAAATGAAATGGAAAGAAGAAATCAGAGCGGCTGATCTCGTTCGCCTGCTTCTGTTTTAGATTAGGGTTTTTATCTAAAATGATACAACAACAATCCGGAGTGATCATCTGCGTAATCTAAGTAATTTAACCCTAGCTATGGTAATTAAATAATTTACATTAAGTGACATACATATATACATCCGTAATAGTTCCAAGATATAAATTGAGTCCTTTTAATTATAATTCCCTGAAAATAAAGGATGTGAAGTTTCGAGAAATTAGAATCATTTGATAAAGACTCAAAATTCGATCACGTACTCACCTATCAATAAGTGAATTGGTTTTAATAAAAAAAACAAAAACAAAAAAAAATAACTGCCATCAACAATCTTACATGTTCCTTTCGTTTTGAGACCACAAAAACAAATGAAACACATAAACATTGTTATGGGACAAATTAAATTACTCGTGAACACATCAAAATGAAACTCTATCTAGGATTATGGATTACTAGGAGTATCCTAAGATGAACTCAGTTGAATTTTAATTACTTTGGATAGAATAATTACAGAAGAAATGGGCTGATCAAGTCAACGAATCAAAACAATTACCGAAAAGAATTATACTACAAAATTTGACACCCGAAAGTCGTAATAAATTAATTTGTTAAACCCTTGGAGAGAATCTTACTACAACTGAGCCGCAAGAAAGAATCTGTATGAATTTACCTATAAAAATGGTAACGGAGAAGCAAAAAGCCAACATTATTCTTCAAGTGGGATTTAAAATAACAGATGATCACTAATTTAGTTTTTGTGGAACGTAAATGCCTTTTTTTGTGTTTTTTTTTTTTTTTGCATTTGATTATTTAGATTGCCAGTGGTACATTTTAATCCCTTTTGGATTTGTCATATGATCAACAGACTACGGTTCATGTTGTATTGTAATTCGATTGACTATTAATGTTTCATACGTCTTTCCTTTCGTACTCATACATCTTTTCCCTCTCCTAAATATGGTTCCATTTTCTTTTTCAAATCCAACCATATAATTTGTTAAAACAAGTTTCTCAGCACATTAATTTTACTTAATTTCGAGGTGAAGCCTTCAATTTTTCTGGACATATATGGTTCACACGCTGGAACATTGAAGAAAGTTTATTTCTTTTGCTCGTTCCCTTCTCTCCCTTATTTATTTATTTTTTTTGTGTGCCTCTTTTGGACAAAAAAAAAGGGATTTTTTTCCCCTCATCTTGATTTAATATAAAAAATACTCTCTCGTCTCACAATAAGATATATGGAGTCTTATGATTTGTATAAAGTATAACATTGTAATCTCTCACTAGGTGAAACCGGAAATTTTATTTATTTTTATTATCATCTTTCTGGGTACAAATTTAAAGTAGTGAAAAGAAGAAATCTTTAAAGGAAGATTAATCTAGTAACCTAAAAAGTCGATGATGACAGAATTATGTTCGTATACTACTAGGGTTTTTGGGTGATTTAGTCTCTATAAATAAAGGAAAATGACTTCTTAGGGTTTGATTATTATAACAAAAAAAAAAGAGAGAGAAAAATGAAGAAGAACCAGGCGGCGCAAAATCTCGAGGACAACATCGAAGGAGGAAGAAAAAAGGTTCGGCGCTTTGATTACAAAGACTCCGAGAAGCTCCGAAATCAACCCAACAAAAACCAAGTTTCGTGGAAACTGGCAAAACCAATTATCTTGGAGAAAAACAAGGTGGACAACAATGTCAATTCCGTATTCTCGCCGTTGTCCATCCACGTTGTGCTGGGCATGATCGCCGCAGCCGAGTCCGATGAGCCGGCCCGAGACCGAATCCTCTCTTTCCTGAAGTCCAAGTCCGTTGATGAACTGAATTCTTCGTGTTCTATGTTTATCAATTCTGTTCTCGTCGACGACAGCCCAACCGGCGGCCCTCTCTTGTCCACCGCGAACGGCATCTGGACAGCTGAGGCTGAAACTCCACCGCCTGATTACGTCAATGTGTTGGAGAAGGTTTATGAAGCTCATTTCGGACAAGCCGATTTCAAAAACAAGGCCGACGAGGTGCTTGCGGAAGTCAATGAATGGGTTGATAAAGAAACTAAAGGCCTTATCAAAAACATCCTTCCTCCTGGTTTTGTTGACGGATCCACGAGTTTAATTCTAGCAAACGCTCTATATTTCAAAGGAGTTTGGCATAAGAAGTTTGATGCATCATTGACAAAAGAGCGAGACTTTTACCTTTTAAACGGCGAGACTGTAAAAGCTGAGTTCATGACCAGTTGGGATGATCAACGTATAAGTGATTTTGAGGGTTTCAAAGTTTTGAGCCTTTTGTACCGACGAGGACGAGGCAAGGATTGGAATCGATCCTTCTCCATGTACTTATATCTTCCAGATGCCATAGACGGGTTGCCGAGTTTGGCGGACCGAATCAGTTCGGAACCTAAATTTGTAGAGAGCCATGAGGGAAATTCACTAGTTCGAGTTGGTGACTTTTTCATTCCAAAGTTTAAGGTCTCTTTGGGATTTGAAGCTTCCAAGATTCTCAAGGATTCGGGCCTGGTTCTTCGTGATGGTTCCCAAGTTATTCACAAATCCTTTATTGAGATTGACGAACAAGGAACAGAAGCTGCTGCTGCAACTGTTTATGGGAGGCGTTCTTGTGGGGGTGCTCTTCCTAGACCTATGAAGATACTAGATTTTGTCGCGGATCATCCGTTTGTTTTCCTCTTAAAAGAAAATGTGAGTGGGGCGATACTATTCATGGGTAGCGTACTTAATCCTCTTTGTTCTAATTAATCATCAAGACTATCGTGTTACTTTTGCATCTTACAATAAGTAGATTCTGTTATTTTGGAGCGGATAATAATACTAAATTTTTTGTGTGGTTCTAAAATAAAATAGAAGTGATCCAGATTTCTAGATTATCTAAATTTTGATATTGTATTTTAATTGTTTTACCTAATTATGGAACACAAATTAGAACTAACTATCAGAGGGAGTATTTTGCTTCTCGATCTTCTCCTAGGCAAAAAGCCACCATTAGCTTAATAGTTTCTCAAATTCTTGCACAAATATCCAACGGGTGCTTGACTTTTGGGTGAGCCAAACCCAAAAGTGTGGAACAAAAAATGTGTAGGGTTTATTTTGTAGACAAATGTAATCTTCTCGCGTTTTGAAAACGCGAAACAATCAAATTACATTAACATTTCGCGTTTCACAAACGCGAATAATGTTAATTCCATGCACTCAGATTCAAACGGGTCGAAAGCAAAAAAAAAAAAAAAAAAATAGGTTTTTCGCGTTTTACAAACGCGAAAAACGTAAGACGCGTTTGCAAAGCGCGAAACTTTGTTTTCGCCTTTGCAAAACGCGAAACTTTCTTTTCGCGTTTTCAAAACGCGAGAAACTTTCTTTTCGCGTTTAAAAATGCGAAAATCTGTAAGTTTAAAAGTGTAAATTTTGCAAATAAAAATTTAGCGTTTTGAAAACGCGAAACAAAATTTCTAGCGTTTTTAAAGCGCGAAAAATAGATTTAGCGTTTTTAAAACGCGAAAATATCCAGAAAATCTCCTCATCCACTCACCCGTCTCCACGTGTATTTTTTATAATAAGTCTGGAATGTATTCGCGTTTGTTAAACGCGAAATTTAAGATTCATATATAAAACAAGCTTTAACAGCATTTCTCCGCAAATTTCTTTCATTGTTCAGCTCCGAATTTTCTTTCCAAATTTCTTTCATTCTGTTGAACTCCGATTTTAAGTTTTACTCCGGAGGACTTGCTGAATTCGTGAAAACTCTCATTTTCTTCAAATTGAGAAGTTGCTCCGAGGTTAAAGAAGATTGATTTGAGTCCTGAAGCCTATTTAAAACTCTAACTTTTAACATTGAGGTAAGTTTATTTCGTTATTAAAAACATGTACTTTTTTATGTTTTATTATGAGCATAGGATGATTTACGCATTATTATTAGTTAATATATAATTGTGATTTAGTCAATTAACGGTGGTTTTTATTGAGGTGATAAAGTAAATTGAAAGAAATATTAGTTAATAGAATATTAAATTAGATGAGCATTGTAAATTATTGTACATCGATTTCGTAAAATAAAATAAAATTATAATAATGATATTGAATTTTGAATATTTACAGCATAAGAATAAATTATGTAATTCGGGCATAAGGTTTAGATTTAATATTAATTTTGAACATACAAATGAATTTGTAAATTCAGCGTATAGTTGTTATTTTAAAATTATTAAATCAGAACGGGTAAATACTATGGCCGCAAACCGATTTCGTAGGAATTGATTTTGCAGCCCGCAAATGTCTTTCACGGAGACAGTTAAATGCGAAATTATCTTGGAATACTACTTATACAACTGAACTCGATGGGACTATCACGGTACAATGGGATGCGCCGGACGGTTATCTTATCATTGATCGTATGTTAGATTTCTCGGAACTTGTTGATAAGGTATTAAGTGTGATCGGAGTTGATAGAGAAGGGCTTTATATTGATTTTTCTTTGGTATGGACGGAGAGGTCAGGAAAAAGGTATCGTGTGCACATTAATGATGATAATACTGTTCGGTTCATTTATCTTTGTGCTGATAAATGGCCAGAATTGTACCCTGAAAAAGTTGAGAGAACAGGCCATGTTTATGCAAGTACATCCGCCAGATATTGGTGCCGCACTAGTGGTGGTAGAACAGTTGAAGACAATGAAGATGGAGATGAAGATGGAGATGAAGATAAAGATGAAGATAAAGATGAAGATGCAGATGAAGATGAAGATGTCGGGGGTGTCGAAAGCAGTGATGATGAGTACGTCCCATCGGATGAGGACTCAGATGACGACACTGATTTTGAGTCATCTTCTTCAGTCCCATATGTTTTCGACGACATAAGTGGATGGGACAAGACTTTAGAGGAAGTAGAAAACGATGGAATTAAAATGTGGGATGGCAATCCGTTGACGCTAGGCCTTGATATACATTTCGCCAACAAGCCCGAGGCACAAGCGGCAGTGGGAGAATGGAACTTGGTACATGGTCGGACTTTCCGGTGAAAACGAGCTCTAAACGAACATGGTATGTCGAATGCGAGACGTGTGGACCTAAATATCCGAAAGAGCGCCTTCACGGCTATGATTGTGCTGTGGAAGGCGCGAGTTTCGCTACTGAAGGCCACCGATACTTGGAAAATGGTGGTATGGTCCGATTCCCACAACCTGTCTTGGGGCAAACAAGAGAAACGAGTCCCGAAATGTCACGTCTTCTATGATTGCTAGACTGGTTGCCCAAAATGTGCGAAAACATCCAGATTTTGCAGTTGCCCAAATTCAAATAGAAGTGATGAAGAGGTACCAAGTCGAATGTAGCTACAAGAAGGCATGGCATGGTAGAAGAAAAGCACTTGAGGCTCGTATGGTACATGGGAAAGTAATTTTCAACAATTGCCCAGCTTCCTCAATGCATTGTTCATGTCAAACCCGGACACTTGTGTGCAATTCAAGTTTAAGGAAAATTCAGGAAGCTCACAAAGGTTTGTATGTAGGTATGTTTTCGGGCATTTGGGCCATCTATACGCTTATTTCATGCTTGTTGGCCAGTAATAACCATCGATGCTACTCACCTGCGAGGATCCTACAAAGGAAAACTAATTGTGGCATGCGTAAAGTGCGCAAATGGCACGATTGTTCCCATCGCATTTGCTCTTGTGGACGAAGAGACTATACACAGCTGGAAATGGTTTTTGAAGTATTTGAAAAAGTTTGTTCTACAAGATAGGAAGACCTGTATTATCTCTGATCGAAATCAGGGTATCCTTACTGCCATGGACATCATGTTGCAAAAATTCCCAGAGATGGGCGTCCACCGTTATTGTCTAGAGCATGTTAAAGCAAACTTGGTTGGGCATTTTCGAAAGGAGAAACTGCGAGGCAACTGTCAAATGATTGGTTCAGTGACGGAAAAGACAAGGTTCTTGGCAGAGTGGCAAAAATTAGAAGAAAAAAATGAGCTTGCTGCTCGTTGGCTTCAGAAGCTGGGTGTTGAGAAATGGACTGTTTACACGATGGAGGGTATCGTTGGGAGAAATGACCACTAACATTTCGAGAGTTTCAATAATGTGCTGAAAGGTGCTAGATTCTTCCCGATCACAGCTTTGATCCTAGCATCCTTTCAAAAAAGCAACAATCTGTTTCAGGCAAACATTGATATGATCCAAAAATGTCAGACTGTTCTACCTCCTACTCCAATGAAACTGTATGAAGAGGCCGGAAGAAATCGTTGAGGCAAAAGGTCAACCGGTTTAGCAAGAGAAACCAGAAGTACGAAGTGGTTACAATAGCACCTGATAATCAACCATGGAAGGCTGACGAGAAGCAAGTTGTGCTGTATGCAAATCGAGAGTGCACTTGCGGAAGGTGGCGACTTTCAGATTTCCTTGTTCCCATGCACTTCGAGTTGCCCGTGAGCTAGGTGACGATCCCTTTCCACTTTTTGATCCATGTTACACTACGCATCAATGGTACCAACAGTTTTATGGAGAATTCAACCCAATCATGGAACCATGGCCAAAGGCAACGTGGCGATCGTGCCGATGACACTAAACTTGTCCACCATGCTGGCCGAGGTCGGAAGCGTGTGAATCGAAAAAAGGTGTGATGGATTATACAAGCAAATCGGCGGCGAAGACTCCAAACTTGCGCTTTATGTAAGCTACAAGGCCATAATGCCGTGGCTTGCCCATATGCGAGAGTTTGCGCACGATGTGGAAGTTTAGATCATGATGCTGTCGAATGCCCTTTTTCTCATCCACCTGCTGACAGGACCGGTATTGATAAACTGTATGATCCATATGGAATTCATGGTGTGCCTAATATCAATTCTGATGATGATGATGATGAAGCGTAGTGATTATTCTGTTAGTGTTCGTATTTTTTGTATTGTTTTGAACATTCATGTAGTAAACCTCAGAGGATGATTCAGTTTGCGTTTGTATTTGTTTTACTATGTTGGTTTGGATGTTTCTGTAATTTATATTAGTAATGTTTTTGTAAAACCGAAACGTCGCAGTTCATTTTAGTAATATTATTAATTATTACTATAGGATATATACATGTCGAATAAAGCACTAGTTATTTGATAAACAATAAAGGTAAGAAAATTAGTTATTTGTCATCACCGAAATTAATATAACCATATATTCGGCTTAAAGAATAAACGACTAAAATTTTAAATTGTGTGTATTATTCTCGCGTTTGTGAAACGCGAAACAAGGGGGAGTAATTTTTTCGCGTTTCAGAAACGCGAAAATAGGGAGGGTTAAAATATTCGCGTTTCTGAAACGCGATTTTACTTAAAGCTTGGTTGTTTTCGCGTTTAGAAACGCGAAAATGGGTGCATAAATTAAATTTTCGCGTTCGGGTTGATGTTTCTCGACGAACCATATATCCGCGTAATCCATTGAAACCGGTGATTTTTCCGGAGAGTTGCCGAATTGTTTCGCATCAATTTTTGCATTTTGTAAGCTATATATCGAGGTAAGTTGTGTTTTTGGTGTGATTTAATCGTTTCTTTTTAATTCATGTTTTAATTTTCGATTCCTATAAATTTTGTGTTCGTTTTATTTGTAATTTTATTTCCGATTTAATGAATCGTTAATAGATCTAGTATTATAGGTGTTGTAATTGTGGAATTTTTAAAAAATTCGGGTTTGGGTTGGGTGAAAAAAATTCCGGGAGAATGAATGAGAGGGGGGCGGCGGCGGAATGAAGGGGAGGGTGGGGGCGCGGCGGAATGAAGGGGAGGGTGGGGGGGGGCGGCGGCGGAACGAAGGGGAGGGTGGGGCGGCGGCGGAATGCGGGGAGGGTGGGGGCGCGGCGGAATGAAGGGGAGGGTGGGGGGGGCGGCGGAATGCAGGGGAGGGTGGGGGGGCGGCGGCGGAATGAAAGGGAGGGGGCGGCGGCAGAATGAAGGGGAGGGGGGGGGGGGGAATGCAGGGGTGTAGAGAGGAGGTAGGTTTAGGGTTTATGGTTGGGCTTAGGGTTTGGTGTGGGGTGTTGGGCTTAGGGGTTTAGGGTTTGGGGGATTGGGTTGGGTTTAGAATGTGGGTTTAGGGTTTGGGGGATTGGGTTGGGTTTAGAATGTGGGTTTTTTGGGTTGGGAATTGGGTTGGGTTTAAAATATGAATTTTGGGTTGGGTTTAGAATGTGGGTTTTTTGGGTTGGGGATTGGGTTGGGTTTAAAATATGGGTTTTGGATAATAAAATGTAGGGTTGGAATTTTGAATGTATAGGATAATTAGATTAGAATAATAATATTAATTTGTATTTACTAAAATGTAGGGTTAAAATCTTTAATAAAGAATAATTAGATTAGAATAATAATATTAATTTGTATTTACTAAAATGTAGGGTTAAAATATTTATTAAAGAATAATTAGATTAGAATAATAATATTAATTTGTATTTACTAAAATGTAGGGTTAAAATATTTAATAAAAGAATAATTAGATTAGAATAATAATATTAATTTGTATTTACTAAAATGTAGGGTTAAAATATTTATTAAAGAATAATTAGATTAGAATAATAATATTAATCCGTATTTACTAAAATGTAGGGTTAAAATATTTATTAAAGAATAATTAGATTAGAATAATAATATTAATCCGTATTTACTAAAATGTAGGGTTAAAATCTTTAAGAAAAGAATAATTAGATTAGAATAATAATATTAATCCGTATTTACTAAAATGTAGGGTTAAAATATTTATTAAAGAATAATTAGATTAGAATAATAATATTAATCCGTATTTACTAAAATGTAGGGTTAAAATATTTATTAAAGAATAATTAGATTAGAATAATAATATTAATCCGTATTTACTAAAATGTAGGGTTAAAATCTTTAATAAAAGAATAATTAGATTATAATAATAATATTAATCCGTATTTACTAAAATGTAGGGTTAAAATCTTTAATAAAAGAATAATTAGATTAGAATAAAAAAGAATAATAATATTAATCCGTACTTACTAAAACTATTTGTAAATTGTACTAGCCATGGACATTGGATCATCTTCTTCCTCCCAATCTACCTCAAAGAAGCTACGGCAGGGACCCAGAGACAGTAGTTTGTTGTTTCTCCAAAACGCCCATAGGTCACACAATATATTCCATGGTGCACAGTATGATATAGGGATTTCGGAGCCCAGGCGCGTAGATAGCGCCGCGTGGAAATTAATAAAAGATGCACCGAGGTTGACAAAGGAATATATTGAGAAATTTGGTTTTGGACCGTTCTCTAGAGTTGGGTCCATCAGATGTGACCATGCCACCGCTTACGCCTCTTGTGGAGCGATGGCGCCCAGAGACCCATACATTTCATTTACCTTTTGGGGAGGCTACTATCACACTCCAGGACGTCGAGGTTCTTTTGGGCCTTCGGGTTGATGGACGTCCAGTTACAGGACATCACACCACGCCTGATGGTGGTTGGGCAGCCTATTTGGAGAGGATGTTTGGATTTAGGTTCCAGACAGAGGAGTCTAGATTGACGAGTGTTTCCATCACTGAAATAAAGACTCACATAGAGAATAATCCTTTGACGGACTGTCCCCGACGATGCACACCTACAATGAGCCCGTTGTTTTGTTGGATGGCTCGTTGGCGGATTCTCGTTCTCAAACACTACGAGAACAGTTTTCCTCTCGATCTTGTGCATTTTCTTCATACTCCCGAGATTTGCTCGGAGTACGGTTGGGGTAGTGCGGCACTATGTTACTTGTACCGCAAAGATGTCCAGTCATCTCCGCCGCTTCGCAAGGCTATTACCGGTGTGTGATTCTTCTTCGTATTTTATCTTTTCATTTCTCTCTAGTTTCAATTTATATTCTCCAATTATTATTGGTGATTTTAGCTAATGATTTCTTCATTCGAATTAGCTCTGGGCACGGGAGCGGATTTTGACGGTTCACCCAAGATATCGGGTGGGGATCTCGATCTATCCGATTGTCCATTGGGCACGAGGTAATCTTATACATCAAACCTTCGTAAATTTTGACATTTTGATTTGTACTGTCATGTCTCAATTTAATGTTACTTTCTCCGTGCAGTGGTCCCGCGAGAAAAAGTTCAAGGTATCACGCGGTTCAATTTGGCCGCTGCACGGATCGGCTTGCGCTTCTCGCAGTCGATGTTAGTATTCTATTCAATTAGTATAACTTATGTTTTATTCGTTTTTTTAACGGTGTCGAACTTTTAATTACACGTCTCTTACTTAATTACCATTGCGGTTTGTCTGGATGCCGTACACGACTCTTTTGGGTCGTATTGCTGTGGTTTGTCTTGTGGGACAGGCATATGGCGATCTCGGACATGGCTCATCTGCGGTGATGTCGTTGCGCCACACAACCCCAGTAGGGTATTTCGCCAATTTGGTTATCACCGCGGATACCCGCGACGCATTACTTCTCACTGCGGCGGAAATTACTAGCCTGCTCAAGAGGAAGCCGTTTGGAGGATCCGATAGGAGATGGTTACAACAACTAGGGATATATCTCCAGGTTTGGAATGATCGCCACGGCCAAGTTGTGGGGACTGATGATCTTTATGTTGGCGAGCCTTCCGCAGATCCGGAGTATCTCTTGTGGTACCATCAGGTTACTGTGAAGTATGTTACGGATCCGACGGACTCTGAAAATGCGAGGGGTTTTCACGGTTCTGCAGAGACCTTGCGCCTCATGGTGAGTATTTCGCCTACTGATCCATTTGGTTCTTTTTATTAACACTGTTGTCGATTTATGATTCTTTCTAATAAAAATTTCAGGCCACATTGATGGAGGACGTTCGTAGTCTGAGTATTATAGGCCAGCGTACTTTCGACGCGGACTCCTTTGGTTATGATCGCTTAGGCGAGATTGCCCAGGTTGCTGAGCGGGCGTTGTCCGTCAATGCAACAAATGTTGTACGGCACGATCTCGATAGGCATGTTGAGGTTCATGACATTTTGAGTCAAGAACTTGCACCTGTGGACCCGACCCAGCAACATCCACCACCCACACCTCCGAGGCGTTCGCGCGGGTCTCGGCGTGGGCGTGGGGGCAAGAGACAATCACAACATCTCAGCCACATCAGTCCTCCCAAGATGAGCGGCCTCATATTCCCTTCACCGGCGGTTCATCCCATCGGTCTCCACATCGATCTCCACTCCATTCTCGACAAGATTCACTCATCGGTCTCCACATCATTCATCCCATCACCTCCACATCATTCTTCGCCGACCCATCAGCGTTTTACCGTCCGATTATGTCTCCCAGACCAAGAAATCCAATTTTTCCTTCACTCGCTTTTCCTCCCCTCGGACTTCTCGGCGTCGGTTTGGAGATTCTTTTATTGACTTTTCCGGGTTTCAGCAGAGTTCGCTAGATGGCCATCGATACATTACACGAGTAACTTTCTTTCGAGTATGTTCGAGGGTGTTGCGGGTCGCATCAGCCGATAACCCACCGAGGTGAGCGTGAGAGTCAGGGTGAGGATGAGGCTGAGGATGAGGATGAGGATGAGGCTGAGGATGCAGACCAGGATGATCAGTTTGAGGGTCAGGGTTATCAGCGCCATGAGGAGCGTGGATCGAGTCGACTCTAGGGACTCCACCGTTGGGCGTGAGTAAAGGCCAGAGAGTGACGAAGGAGCCCGATAGATTGACTTATAGCCTTTTTCGGGCTAAAAAGCCCAAGAAGAAGTAGGGTACTAGACTTCTTATGTAGTATTATTAGACTTGTATTTTTTTTTCCCTTTTGTTCATTTCTGTTTTTTTTCCTTTTGTTATGACTTGTTTTATTTTTTTTTACCTTTTGTTATGACTTGTAGTATTTTGTTATGACTTGTATTAATATTCTTAATAGTTTGATTTCACCTGCATCGTAAATACAATAATTAATATTTATAAAACACATCTTCGCCGATCAAATCGAAACACATATTTAAACTTTCTTATATTTTTTTTCATAATTAATAGTTGCTTCATCTTAAGTGTTGGTAAATTAAAATAAATATTTAATAAAATTTATTCTTATTTTAAGCTTTTTTCTTATATTAAAACCATCATAATTAATAAAATTAATTTGTAAATTAAATTACATCTCAATAAATCCATAAAATTACGTCATTATCATTATTGAAAATTTTTCATATAAAATTATTTTTTAAAATAATGATTACATTTTTTATAAAATTTTTTAATATAATCATTATTAATTTTTTTTATATAATGTTCTAAAAAATTAATACATTATAATAACTATATCATACTTTTAATAATTTATATTTAGTATAGCTCTATTTTATTTAATGAGTATCAATTATAATATTATATTCTTATTCAAAATTTAATTTTCGTATTATTAAAATTATCAATATAATTTTCCTCTTTATAGCTCTATTCAAAATTTAATGATTAACAGTTATAATTTTAAAATTTTCTGTTACCATTATTCAAATTTAATAATTTTTTGAAGTCAATTTCCCTATAACGTTTTAAACTAGTCAAATTAATCATATTTTTATGCCTATTTCTTTTTTAATTAAATAAAATGTTTTTTCAATTGATTTCGCGTTTTCAAAACGCGAAATCTTGTTGATTCAAGTTAATTAATTAGGATTATGTTAAATTAATTTTTTCTCCTTCTTTTTCGCGTTTCAGAAACGCGAAAAATATACATTCGCGTTTTGAAAACGCGATTTTGTGTTTTTAGCGTTTTCAAAACGCGGATTTTGATTTTTTCGCGTTTCTGAAGCGCGAGAAAACTATTTTTGGCCACAATTTAAACCCTAAACATATTTTGTTCTTCATTTTTTTTTAAGTTACTAATAAGTAAATTTTCGAATATCCAACCTAAAAACAAATAATCATGTTTCTACATTTTTATAAACATTTAACAACGCGTATGATGATTAGTATTATCACTCCGTCCGTCGAACAAAAAAAAAAAGTCCACAATGAGATTCTAATTTGTACTAAAAATAATATAAAACTCAAAAATCAATATATATATATATATATATAGACTAAATTTTCGGGACAAAGGTAGTACTATTGCTGTGTTATTTGGTAATGAGCATTTGATTCTTACCATTTTAAAACCTAACAATGTATAACAGATTACAGTTTGCAATTTGTGGAGATATCACTTATAATAAATATGATAGTTCCAATAAAAAGAACAGCTCTGTACGTAGTAGCCACAACCACATACAAAATGAACTCTATCGACTAACAAATCCGACTAGATAATATCGTTGGTCAAGAGTTATAGCTTTTTTTTTTTTTTGGGACAGGGAATACATATTTTATTTTAAAATCAACTATGCAAACTATGTTAGTAAACTTTGATAATTAATTTATATTTAAAAAACAAATTTGGACCACGAATAACTCGAACTTTGGTAGCAGCTCCATGTGAAATGGTTGTTTGCAAAAAAATATCGTGGTCAATGCAGCTAATGAAAAAAGTTAAATCCTGCAGTTTTATCAATCTTTATATTTCAAATTTTGTGTATAATTCATAATGTGTTTCCACGTAGACAAATCATGGATAAAATATTTCATTTCAATTACTTTAGAGGAGGTTTGTCACATTTTCAAGCGCCGAACACACACGATTGGAATATCAACGGTATCACAAGCTTTAAGGTTATAAGTACTATTATTTGACAGAGCAACCTCTTGCTAAATGTGGAGTGTGGACAGAGTAAACTTTAGATTCCACTCATTTAATTTTTTCACTATTAGTAACATAGGAATTGGTACGAATGTACGTATAAGAAAGGAAAGCATTAGCGCCATGATATATTCCTATTTGAGTCGGGATTAAAACTCCGGAATTAAAGAGAGGGAGGAGAGACTTTTAACAAACTAAACTTCCATTGATTTCTTCTTCTTTTGTTAATATGAAGATTACTACATATAAATAGAAAACAAACTAGGGCTCCCATAACTAACCAGTAACCCACTCTTCCAAAACCAACTGTAGACTAATCCTAAAATAATTGACTCATTGACACACTAAATAAATAATTAACCTGCAGTGAACTAGTAAAACATGGACTCAAATTAACCACTTACAGCCATGATGTTTGATGAAAGTACGTGGCCCTTAATTAGAAAAGTTCATGCTCAATGCGTGGATCTATGCTCAATGCGTGGGTCAATGAAAGGCTCCACCATCAACTAACATCTCCACGGCCTGCAAACCCGACCAACACTCTCCACAACTTTAATGGAACCATGGTGCTATTTTATGGTGCTATCAACCCCAATAAAGCTCTCTTGCCAGTAGGAGTTGTAATTTGGAACATACAGAGATGCTTCATGGGATGCTTCGCCAAAACCTACTCAGGTCTGTTCAGCCCATTAGTCATCGAAAGTATAGCAACACGGAAAGGAATTGCGCAGGCTCTATCTAAGGGTATATCCCATCTGGCCTTGGCTGATGATATCCATCGCCTACAAGCAGATGATAGTGATCTCTCAGATTCGGACTTAATCCTGTCTTATACAAAAACCTTCTTTGATAACTTCTCAGATTTCAGTTATTGTTGGGTTGATCGTAGACTTAATGTATTTTCACACAGTCTAGCCTGACACGCAAAATTTAAGCATGGTTTTGAGAAATATTAGGACTCTATTCCCGTTTTTGTACCTCAAATCGTACGGGACGTTTTTCCAGTAACTCATTAATGAAATTCACTTTCATTAAAAAGAAAAAGAAAAAAAAAGAAAAGTTTATGACCCTATATATCATGGGACTTTTTGAGTGAAGCTTTGATGCTTTGAGATTTCCTAGCAAGTTCTGTGGGTTGATTAGAGTATGTGTTCAGACTTCAACTTTTTTTCTTAATCTAAATGCTAATTTCAATTTGGCTAGGCACTTTCAAGGTAACCGACAAGGGGACCTATTTCCTGTAATAGTTATGGAATTTCTGTCCAATCATTCTTTTTCTTCTATTTTTTTTAACAATTCGTCGACTAATATAATTTTCATATATAATTCGTTTAAGATTTTTTCACGGATTATGAAACTTGTGCAATATAAGAATATTTATATAAAATAAGTTGGTTATCTATATTTTTAAATTAGATATCCTTCTTATTTATGCCCATCAAAATTTAATCATTTTTAAGTTCGAAAAAAATATTCGATGTGGATCTTATTGGATAAATCTCAATGAGTGCTATGAATTTCATATATAATTCGTTTTCTAATTCTTCACAGATTGAGAGATATACTCGTTTGAAAATTAGAGATATATTTTATGAGGAGAAAGAAAAAAAAAAGTAATAAGAACTAAACTTGCAAAACATTAGAAATTTGAGGAAAAAAATACAATAAGGACTAAAAATGTAAAAAAGAGGGGGTCTACATGATACCGGGTGCACTCCAGATGATCTTTTTTTTTTTTTTTTTATAAAATTAGATGACCCCAATAAAAATCGAATCATCAACCTCTTGTTAATAACCACCACTCATCCTAAACCCGTGACCATCCCACCCCAAGATGGTCTCCCTTTTCTTGGCTATAACTGGGCACAAATCTATACAACTTGGAGAATTGAGAGAAGGGCCGGGTCATGTCATGGTGAGTTTTTCACAATATGTTTTGCTTTAATAGTAGTTCATTTTTTACAATACAGTCTTTTTTCTTTTTTTCTTTTTTTTTTTGGCTTTTGGGTACAAGAATAGTTATTAGTTAACATCATTGTCTCGTGCTTTGCCGTTATTATCTATTTTGTTTTAGTCTTAGATTCATTCTTTTTGAGATATTGCACAAAGGTTTGTGTATTTAATTTTGATAGGAAAGTGCTACTTCACGGAAAGTAATTTTTTTAAAATCTTTTCTGCGCTGTTTTTCTTTTGTTTTTCGTTACTAATAGAAACATCAATCTACTTATGTAAGAATTTTGCTGCTTTCACGAGTTTGCGGTACTTTGGTTTTCTAGTGTATTGTAGTAGTAGAAAAATAAAAATTGTCTGACATCTATGATTAATCTGGCTATTCGTGTTTTTTTATTGGAATATTAGTGTATACATCCCAACGTTTATACCTTATTAGCGAATTCATCCCAAAGTTTTAGAATTGGGTAATTACGTCCCAAGATTATCAAAATTGAGCAGATCCATCCCATGACTTGCAAACCAACAAAAGTGACCTGGTATAACAGGTAAAATAATTTGGATCCAATATTTAACATTTTTATTCTATTTTTTTTAATTTTTTAAAATTTTTTTAGTTTATTAAAACAAAAACAACATTTATAAACAGAGAAACTAAAAACTTTAATTTATTTTTAATGAATCTAATGTATTTTATAATCAGATTCATCTTAATTTTTTTGATAAAACTTGAAGAAACTTTCCAAAAAAATCTTCATTTTGAGTGAAAAAAGAATGATTATACTTTCACACACACACACACACACACACACATATCGTGTATTCAAAAATTAATTAGTTTTGAGTTTATCCAAAATTATAAATTATTTCATTTGTGATGCATAAATTATTTTGATTAATTAAGTAAGTTTTTTCGAGTTTTTTTAGTATAGAAATTTTGTTTGTTTTTTAATGAACTAAAAAATGACAAAA